AGATGGTAACTCATTACCACCAGTACTCACCCTCCCCAAGATTACATAGACTTAACTCACAAATATTTCTTTAGAAGATCAACAAATCAAAACTTTACCAGTCTGACCACAAAGTTAATTGTCTGAGTGTTAATAATTCAATTATAGTTATCTTAAACTGACAGTTTAATTATCATTACAACTTAACATCACAGTAAAGAAGAACAGAACAGTCCCTGAAAAGCATCCAACTCTTAGTTCAGTGACCACATCTCTACAAACTTCTCACTTTACATTTACTACTACAGTATACATTCAGATATTCAGAACAGAGAGGTCTTCCAAAAGCTAAATGACACCCCAGCTCTTTACCATAGTTAGCATAAGGTAGCAGGACTAGAAGAGGGCAGATAACAAAGGCCTTTTTTTGTGAGAGTGCCTTTTTTACTTTACATAATTAGGTACACTCAACTTCTTTTACCATTGCATACGTGGAGTTTTTTTGTTGGTTGTTTTTGTTTTTGTTTTTCCCTCTTTTTTGGTACTAGAGATTGAACTCATAGAGCCCTTTATCACTGAGCTACATATATTTCCAGTTCTTCTTATTTTTTATTTTGAGGCAAGGTCTCACTAAGTTGCTGACGCTGGCCTCCAACTTGCAATCCCCCTTCCTCAGCCTCACACCTGGCACAAGCATGATTTTAGCATAAACATAATTTTTAAGAGCTGGGATTACAATTCAAGGCCCTAAGTTTGATCACCACCACCACCAAAAAAAAAAAAAAAAAATTAACTACATTAGTTACACATATTGCCTACTGACATGAATATTTCTACCATAACAAGAAATTTTTTATTTCAATTTTTTGTAGTTATAAATGAACAGCATGTCTTTATTTTACTTGCTTTTTTTTTTTTTAATGTTGCTAAGGATCAGACCCAGTGCCTCACGCACACAAGGCAAGTACTCTGCCACTGAGCCACAGCTCCAGCCCACAAGGAAAATTTTCACAAAACAAAGCAAATAGGAAAATTCAGATGTGCCATAAACACCTAAAATACAGCACAGAAATAAAAAATCATAAAGTTTATATATTCATTTTGCTTTGGATTAAAAAAATTATTAATCATCAGATACTTCAAAGAATGCATGGCATATTTTTTGACCAACCCATTCTGAAGCATGAATGTTTGTGATTTTTATTTCTGTGCTATATTTTAAGTATATTCTGGCACATCTGAATTTGACTGTTTGCTTTCTTCTGTGAAAACTTTGTTTTATCAATTTCCTGCTCTTAGAGAAATGGACCCAATACAATTTACAAAAGTAAAAAAAAATTGGTATGACTGTTGGTTTTAGGTTGGAAAACTCTGTATTTCTTTTAGATAATTAAAAGCTTAACAAAATAATCATATGATATATATGTGTTTATATACATTATACATATACAAGCATTTACATAAATATACAAAGTCTTCATATTATAATAGTCTTAACAAGAGGAATATTGAGGCTGGGGATGTGGCTCAAGCAGTAGCGTGCTCGCCTGGCATGCACGGGGCGCTGGGTTCGATCCTCAGCAGCACATAAAAATAAAAAACAATGATGTTGTGTCCACAGAAAACTAAAAAATAAATATTAAAAAATTTTCTCTCTCTCTCTTTAAAAAAAAAAAAAAAAACAGGAATATTAACTCTATTAGGTTCAGGATGACTTAAAACATTATCCCAGCCACCCTGGAAGTGATAAGGCAATCATGTTTTATGCTTCTTGCAGTCAATGCCACAGACCCTGACACAGCCATGAATTGAAATGAATCATAAGCTAGTCTGGCCATACTCTCCATCCATGAGATTTCTAGAAAATATTTCAAAATATTACTTAGAAATCTAATTACACTTGTAAATACATTTACCTAAGTTTATGAAAATAAGCAATCCTAATAATTTGTTATAAGCAGTTCTTCCCACTCTTGAGGAATTTTTTTTGAAAAACTTGGCCCAATTTTTTCTATATTTTTGGAACAGGCAAAGGACCTTATTTCTTGTACTGGGCCTGTATTTGGATCTTAAATATAGTCTGATGGACAATCATGGACTAATCTGCATTCAATATTAATGCCAACCCTATTTCTTAAACAGAGAACACAGATGCATTTATAAGATCTGGTCTACTTACTTGTGGGTCCCTCTGCACTATTCTTAGCCTTTCATGAATATTCTGTAAATTTTTAAATTACACAAGGCCCTTTGCAAGGAGAAATGATTTCTCCTGTTGTTGTGGTATCATTCCCTCTCCAATAAAGACTAGACAGTTCATGAATGTATACAGATATTAAGACCAGATAAACTGAATATTTATGCTAATAGAAAATGAAATTTCTTGCTAATAATTGCTAAATTAAAGTTTGCCAGCTGATGAAGAAGTTCAGGACTGTACTTACTGACTCTCAAAAAATACAGCCTTACCTAAAAATAGTGTCCTAGCTTACCAGCCAAAAGGAGAGACTAAAAAAGATATGTCTTTATTCAGCTCAAAGACACAGACTTGTACTCCATCATAACCTTCAATACTATGGTATTTCCCATTTTAGAATACTCCGTGTAACAAGTTGTTTGGTGGCCAAACATTAGCTTCACTTTGAAGTGAATACTCCACCAGTCTTCATGTGTGAAGGCTATGGAAATATCCTGATACAGTTCAACACTAGCCATACAAGATTACCAAATACTAAATATTCAGCTTCAGACTACAAAGGAACATCTCTATAGGCAAAAGGCAGATCATTGGTTCCTTTCCACAGAATAATCTGTAAATTTCAAAAAAATGAGATGAAAAGTTCAAATTGGGAAGTCTAAGGCATGAATATGCTTCTACCTGTAAACTGAAAATAAATTCAAAAATCCACATTTGCTCTGCCAAGAATAAGAATTAAAATTATATATAATACACATAAGCACTGCTGAGTTTCAAACCCAAATTAATGTGGCATGTGCACTTAAAAAACAATCTTGGTCTGTGTCCACCTTTCTTTCCCAAGGTTGCGTGAGTGGGTGCACACGTATGTGTAAGGCAAAATGTCAATTATACATCTCAATCTAGAAAAATAAAGTAAAACACAGCCTATTCTTCTTCATTAGATATTATAGTAGGTATGAAAAGTTCATAAGAGGCTTTCAAGGTCCAGATGCCCAGATGTGTTAATGGATGAGACAAAGCCCTGCAATAACCAATTAATTAACCAAAATTACTTACATTTTTCTGAACCAAATATAATAAGATATTTCTCAAGGTGAGAAAACTGATTGTGAAAAATGTAAACTCTCCCTCTCCACAGCAATGAATGTAAGCTGTTCACTCATGCTATATTAATGTCCTTTAATTTCAAAGCATGATAAGTTAAAATAAAATAAAATATTACAAATTCATACACCATATATGACCAGAAAATAATAACTAGTCTTATCCCTAATAAGTTGGGTGGGATTCACTTTCATATCATTTTCATTTCCAAATAATTATTAAATAATTATTAGAGACAAGTACTATTCCATTTTTCAGAAATTAAAACCAAGGGCTTGGGGATACAGTTTAATGATAGAGCACCTGAATACCATGTGTGAGGCTGTGGGTTCCATCCCCAATACCACAAGAAAATAAAATAAGTGACTGGCTTGCCTAAAATAATCATTTCCAATGGAATGGGTATACTTTACAAAAGTCCCAAAAACTGTGGAAATACAAGTCCCTTATACATAATCACTTACACTCAACGTACAGTAAACAATGGACATCAAAACAAGCAAAATTAAGACATCCAATTAAAGTTACACAAAGAAATTTGAAGAGGCAAACTATAATTACCCCTGGAGAAGACACTGATCAAGGATAGCTGCAAATAACATTTGGCTCTGGATAAACTCTACTATGTTTGAGTATGTTGGAGTCCTGGAAAAGATTGATATTTGACACATTTTTCCTTTCTAAATCTAGCCCTGCTCATACCCCATTTGACTGAGTGACATATTTGGAAAATAAAGATGGCCCCATCAAATTACTTAAGTTTCAGCCTTACTTTTATAAGTTGATTAAAATACAGAAGGAAACAAGTGAAATCATGTTTAACTGTGTGGTCTCACCTTACACATCTCACCAGCACTGTAGTTCATTAGTGATCAATTACTTCATCCAATTCCTGAGGCAAATAGAAAAGTAAAATGTGTCTATACAATACCAGTAATGGACATTATCAGTGGCAAACATTTTATCAGTCTGAAGTGAAAGGGCATCTAAATTTCAAATGGAAAGTTACAAAAATGGTACAGTCTGCAGCTTTGCAAATGAATGTTTCTTTTGCCTTAAAATGAAAACATTTCCTTTTGGTAAAAAAGATAAAAGAATAGATTATAAAATGCTCTAAAAATCAAAAACATAAGAAAGTTCATCTTTTGTCAGCACTGACTGATCTTAGTTTCAAAAAAATTTTTTGAAAGAATTAAAAAGAAGAAACCTCATTAATATGAGTTTAAGTGAGGGCAAAATTAAGTACAAACTAGCCAAGATAACTCCTTCCTCCTTCTCCCATTCCAGGAACCCACTACCTTTAGAGTTATACTTTTTATCATATTAATGATTTGCCTGAAGAGTTGTAAGGGAGAAAAGAATGGCAATTCTTGAGTCGCAAACAAAACCCAAAAATCCCAATCCAAGAAGTATCCGAAGACCTGGCTTCCAGCCCTCTCCGAAGGCAAAAAGGCCAAGGGGCAAAAAGCTCAAATAAACTGGGAGAGAGGAATCAAAGTTCCAGAAACGCTGCAGTCTTCAAAGCCCTTGCAAAGGGGACTCTTGAGGAATCTCCAGGAAGAGATCTTGTTTGTATTTTTGTTGATGCGCTTGTGGGCCAGAGAGCATTTCCGAGGAGGGGGCGGGGAAGGGGGCAAAAGTGAACCCTAGGCTCTGAGCCCTCCGCGGGGGAGGGGGCGCACCCCTGACCCACTTTTCCCGACGCCCCCCGCCCGAGACCCCCGCCCCGGCCGGGTGGAAGTCCGAGCCCCGAGGGCGGAATCCAGCGGGGCGTGGGAGGCCCGCACGCTCCCCACCCCCCGCGGCGACCCGGAGGCGCGGAGCGTGCACCAAGGCTCGGCTCCCCCTCCCGGAGTGGCCCGTGCGGGAGAGCAGCTGCCTGCAGGCCCCCGGCCCAGGGGTGCAAGGGCCCCGCCTCGGCCTGGGCCCCGGGCGCCGCGGCCCCCAGCGGAGGGGAAGGGGACAGAGGACGGGAAGAAGCTGTAAACAGCCCCAGCGTCCGGGCCTCGCCTCGAAGAGCCCCGCTTCCCAGGCCCCGCCGCGGGCCGCCCAGGACCCCGGCCCGCCCCGGGGCCGCGCCTCCCGGGGCTCGGGGCACCGGAGGGGAGTCAGGGTCCCTCCCCAGAAGGCTCGGGCGGCTCGCGGAGCGGCCCCGGCAGCAGAGAAGGGGGAAGTCAGGACTTACCTGTCATTACTTTCTACGCCATCTTGGATCCACTTGTCAACGTCCCCACAAAGCATTATGGGTAAGAAAGAGCCTTTAAAGTGACTCCCCCCCTCGGCCCCCGACTCCCGCCTCCCGCCGCCGGCGCCGCCCCCTCCGGCCGCACCTCCCGCCGGAAAGTTGCCGCGGGTGGCCCGTCGGCCCCGCGCCCGCGGCCCGGCCCCCTCCCCGCCCGCGGGAGTTTGCATTTCAAAATCAGCCCCTGGTTAAAAATGTGGCTTTGGGCTTTTCTCTTGTCTCCTGGTCCTGGCCTCCCTTCCCCCACCGTGGCCTCCACGCCGGTTCCCTTTGCCCCGCCGCCCTCCTGCCCTGGCAGACACCCCACGTCTGCATTCAATCAGCCCGAGGATTCCCTGGCGCTGGCGGCGGCGACTGCTCGCTGACTGATTTATGCGCACGCATGTGAGCGTCCCGGTCCCGGTGCTCCGAGCGCCGCGCGGGCTCCGGCCGCCGCGCTTCCCGCCCCTGGGACAGCCTCGCGGGGGTCGCCAGGGCCGCCCGCAGCCCCGCTCACCGCTCCCGCACCCGCGCGGCAGGAAGGGGCCTCCGTGCAGGCAAGCCGTGCCGGGGCCACGGGCTGCGGGAACTGGGCGGACACCGGATCCCCGGGTCAACCAGCCGTCGAAGCGCGATTGGGGGAAAACCGGAAAAAAAAAAAAAAAAAACAAACAGCTAAATGCAACTTTTACCCCCTGTTTACTCTGCCTCTCGCCGTCTCTTCCTCTCGGCCGGTAATGTGATCCGCGACCCTCTAAAGAGGTAGGGACCCCTCCCCTTGGAATGTGGCTTTGGGCTCCGCGGGACCCTCCCCGTTAAGAGTCCGGGCTGTGGACTGTGACTTCCCGGCGCAGGTAACTCGGTCGCCCACTGCCGGCGCGGGGCGGGGCGCGGAGGCGCGACAGGGCCCGGGGGAGGGTCCCCGGGAGGGTCTAGGAGAAGGGTGCTCCCGCAGCGGTCCACCTGCCTGGTTCCTACAGGACAGCGAACCCAGGCGGCGGGGCCAGGGGTGGAGCGCGGGCGCTGCTGTGGCTTGGGGGCGGGGAAGGGGGGGATGCGGAGTCGCCCTGCGGCGACCCGGGGCGCTGCTAGTAGAACCCGAGCCGGCTGAAACCCGGACGATCTGCTGGGCTCACCACCCTATTAGGGTCGCAGAGATCCCGGCATCAATCCAGTAGCCTAGGTTCCCCCAGAAACAGAGGTTTGTTCTTCAATCCATGCACATTCTCTTCCTAGAGCCTCCGGTGTCCGCTTTGCTAACTTTGGGGACCTGCTCTGGTTGCTGTTTTTCCCCCCTTTTATTTTCCCAAGAAAGTTTTGGTATACAAAAAGGTGTCCAAAAGAAATTCTCCAAGACTTTTGGACCTAGGGTGTAGCTCAGTGATAGAGTGGGTATTTAGTAAGTCTCGAGGCGCTGGATTCTATCCCCAGAACCAAAAATAAATAAAGAAAAACAAATAAAGAAATGCTCCAAGGTATCAAAGTATTCGGTACAAAATGCTGTTGAATGGCTCTGCAATTAGAAGAAATCGCGGGTACCAACGTTAACCCCGCCCCCACTGCATTCCCGTTTCGGTGCCTGGGGAGGACCTTAGGTTGGCCCTAGAGTTCTGCACTCCTCTGGATCTTACCAGAAGTCTCTTTAGGAACCTGTGTGGTTGCAGACACAAGCCCTGCCCCCAGGGAGCCAAAAACTCCACCGGGCAATTGTCTTGGCCAGAGGTGAAGAGTGAGGTGTGGACTCATTAAGGGATTGGCCCGGGGTCACTCGTGAGGGAGGGAGCAGGTGAGTCACTCCCAGCCACTGAGAACCGGCTTGCAGAGGAGGGACCTCCCCTGAGTCACTGCTTCGCTGAGCTCCTGAGAAGCTCAGAATGAGTTGAGAAACTGAAGCCTGGAGCCAGGTTTTTAAGAGTTTCAAAGCTCCTGTAGCCACTAGGGAGGGGCTAGGCAGCGCCCCCTCCCACCCCAGACCTCTGGTCCTGCTGGAAGATGTAATGCAGCTCCAAAGTCCTCTTTCCCCCATACCCCAGTTCTCACTTATTTAGCCACTGGTATGCACTGATTTAATGATTGTCTTGTGTTTACATGGCACCTTTAAGGATGAGATCTGAGCTACCTTATAAGTAAACATTAACAAAATCAGGGCAAGGACTGGACCTCTCAAGCATGCTTCTTTGGTAATCTTCCTTTGCTTACAAAGGCCTTGACCTAAAGAAATGCTCCATTCAAGTGATCACCTGACCCATTTACTACCTTCAGTGTGTGTCCCCGCCCATCTTTGTCTAAGACCCTATCTATTACCTATGCTTCTTCCCTCTGCCTCCCCACCCCACCCCTTCCCTTATAGTCCGTTAAGCCTGTGGCCAACCCAGTGACCTTAATGAAATATAAGTAGATCTTGTGACTCCTCCCCTTAAACCTACCAAAGTCTTTCCATCATGCATAGAATAAACCCAGAGCCTACAAGATCTCTCTGCAAGATGGGGCCAGGCTGACCTTCTGTCTTCCCCTGCAGTTCGCCACATGTCCTTACTGCCAGAATCCTGTTCCCCCAATCCCCTGCCTGTCATCATCTTTTCATGGTTCAGGTTTACCTTCTCAAGGAGGACCTCTGTGATCCCTTAAGTAAAGCAGGTCACTCTGCAGGATCCTGCCTCATATTAGAAAGTATCTTGCTCTGTCTTTGCTGTTTATTATCTGCCCGCTAGAGTACAAGTTCCCTGAGGGCACAGTCCTCCTCTAACCTATTGCTCTCAATGCCTAGACCAGGACCTGACATCCAGAGATGCTTAGCAAATATCCGTTGAGTGAATGACCAAGCTGCTGCCAGGGCAAGCGGATGTTGGTGGACAGGGGTGCTGAAGCCTAAAGTGAACTGACCTTCATCTCTTCGGATCACTCTGACCATGTACAACTAGAGGTGGCCATATAGGAAAACAGGCCATTCAGCTACCATTAACTTAGGTGTATTCTGCTCCTGATCTGATGCAGTACCAGCTAATTAGCCCATCATGTCCTGCTTCTCTCCCCGCTATTACCCATGACCATACCTCAGTTTTCTACTACTTAAAGAGTCCCAAAGGCTTCTCTCTCTCTCTCTCTCTCTCTCTCTCTCTCTCTCTCTCTGGAGAAACCATAGTCCTACATAGTCCGCCTCCTCTCCTCTCTCTGATATCCTCTGTCACCCGTGCTCTGCGACAGCCACAATGGCCTTTTTAAGATCCACAAGTCACACTTTTGCCTTCTTCAACTCCTCACTCCAGTGAGCCCCTCTGTCACCATTCTATTTAAAATTAAAATATTTCTACAGACTCTATATTTCTTTCCCTGCTTTATTTTTCTCCAAAGCACTTAACACCTTCTAACATAATAAGTAGTTTGTTTATTCAGTAGCTGTCTGTCTTTCCCCATGTGACAGTCAGCTTGCTAATCACCAAAGGCCCATTCTCCATGCTGGGAACTGTGTTTTCCAGAGATGCCCTTGCATTTAGCCAGGGCCATGTGACTAGTTCTTGCTGGTGGACTTAGAGCAGAAGTATGACTCTGAATGAGCACTCAGAAATAGGCTGGGCCAAAAACACCTGTATGGAACTCTAAACTTAACAGATACGAGACATTTATTGTATTAACCCACTGAGCTCTATTTGTTATGGCATCTATGACTACACCTCGATCACTGTCTTTCACTAGAATGGAAGCTGTCTATGCCCAGTGCCCCACACAGTTTGGCACTTTGTAGATATTTTTAAATATCTGTTGAGTGAGTGAACAAACAAATGCATGAACAAATTCCTTTTTCACCACCAATAAGGAAAATAAGTGGATGGTTGGAAAGGAATGGAAAAAATGGAAAATGGAATAGGATTAGTTGGAGTGGGTGTATTTGAAAAAATAGAAACTGAAGCCAGGCACAGTGATGCATGCAGTAATTCCAGCTGCTGGAGAGGATGAGATAGTAAGATCACAAGTTCTAGGCCACCCTAGGCAACTTAGCAAGACCCTGTCTCAAAAGGAAAAGTTAAAAAAAAAAAAATAGCTGGGAATATCTCTGTAGTTCATCACTTGCCTACCACGTAGGAGGCCCTGAATTAAAATCCCAGTCCCACTGGGTGCCATGTCGCACACCTGTAATCCCAGTTGCTCGGGAGGCTGAGACAGGAGGATAGCGAGTTCAACGCCAGCCTCAGCAATGGCGAGGCACTAAGCAACTCAGTGAGACCTTGTCTATAAATGAAATACAAAATAGGGCTGGGGATGTGGCTCAGTGGCTGAGTGCCCCTGAGTTCAATCCCGGTAGCAAAAAAAAAAAAAAAAAAAAATCCCAGTCCCGCAAAAAAACTAAAAATTAAATACATTTTAAAAGGGTTGAGGATGTAGGTCATTGCTTACCTAATATGTTAGGCCCTGGGTTCCCAGTACTTTAAAAAAAAAAAAAAATTTTTTTTTTTTTAAATCTACAAACTGAGTTTGTAGAGATCATTGGCTACTAGGCTTTGGTAAAATGACATTAAGTTTTATCCTTTCGTTTTACCTTTCTCTTCTTTTCTTCCTCCCACTGCTCCACCTCCTCTCCTGTACTCACTGCTCTGGTTTGGATATGATTTGTCCCCCATAGGTTCATGTACTGTAAGTTTTACCTTCCTGCTGTGAAGTTACCATGTTGAGGTGGTAGAATTTTAAGAGGTGGGGCCTTGTGGGAGGTAATTCAGCCATTAGGGCATCACCCTTGGAGGGGATTAATGCTGGCCTCTCAGAGGAAGAATGGGGGGCAGTAGCTCAGTAGAAGAGCTACCATGTGTGAAGCACTGGGTTTGAGCCTCAGCACCACATAAAAATAAATAAGTAAAATAAAAATTAAAATAATTTTATAAAAAGAGAAAGAGTGGCCTCTCCCATTCTCTGTCTTCCTTTCTTACCATCCTATGGATCCCCAGCCCTCCCCTGCCACACACACACACCCATATTTCTCTTTTTCCTGCCAAGATTCCATCCAACATGCTGCAATTCAGCCAAGGGGGTTCTCACTTAAAACTGAACAGATAGAGCCACGTAATTTTGGATTTTCAGCTTCTAAAACTATGACTAAATAAACCTCTTTTTTTTCATAATTTAACCAGGCTCAGGTATCTTTTTATAGCAACAGAAAGGAACTAATACACCACCCAAATTCTCTCTTACTCGTCTCTCCTTTTCCCTTTCTCCTTTCTCTAATGGATTGTCTTCTTTTATTTTTCATATAATCCAACAAGTATTCACTGTCTATTAATTTGAACCACTCATGTTTAGCCAAGATCTTTTAAGCCATTTAAAATATAGGAGAAGGAGATAACATGGATTTAAAAATATAAAGAAATTTTAAACCCTTGGACTTGTGTGTGTGTGTGTGTGTGTGTGTGTGTGAGAGAGAGAGAGAGAGACAGAGAGAGACAGAGAGAGAGATAAGAATTGAAACCAGAGCCTCAAATATATTATGCTTCATTGAACTACACCCCCAACACTAATTTCTTGGATTCTTACATACCTCTTCTTTTTAGGGCAAAACCTAAATTCAAAGACATAATAACAGAACTTTTAAAAACTACTTTAGGCCTGCTTCTTTTCTACTTGATATTTAGAGAACAAAGGATCCATAACACAGTCAGACCACCTCTACCACTGAGAACAACGTTTTAAAAAGTAGACAGTATATGTTTTGAGAAGCATCTGCTTGAACACATCTGAATAACAGGGGGGGAAAGCCTGGCATGGTGGCGCACCCTGTAATCCCAGCAGCTCTGGAGGCTGAGACAGGAGAATCCTGAGTTCAAAGCAGCCTCAGTAGTGGCGAGGCACTAAGCAACTCAGTGAGACCTTGTCTCTAAATAAAATACAAAATAGGGCTGGGGATGTGGCTCAGTGGTTGAGTGCCCCTGAGTTCAATCCCCAGTACCCATAAAAAAGGTTGGGAAGAACTATCAAAGGTGGACAGGAGGGCTGGGATTGTAGTTTGTG